AGCTGCAGTAATGTGTGTGTTTCTATGTTTGTGTAGCTGCAGTAATGTGTGTGTTTCTATGTTTGTGTAGTTGCAGTAATGTGTGTGTTTCTATGTTTGTGTAGTTGCAGTAATGTGTGTTTCTATGTTTGTGTAGCTGCAGTAATGTGTGTGTTTCTATGTTTGTGTAGCTGCAGTAATGTGTGTGTTTCTATGTTTGTGTAGTTGCAGTAATGTGTGTGTTTCTATGTTTGTGTAGTTGCAGTAATGTGTGTTTCTATGTTTGTGTAGCTGCAGTAATGTGTGTGTTTCTATGTTTGTGTGTTCAGCTGCAGTAATGTGTGTGTTTCTATGTTTGTGTAGTTGCAGTAATGTGTGTGTTTCTATGTTTGTGTAGCTGCAGTAATGTGTGTGTTTCTATGTTTGTGTAGCTGCAGTAATGTGTGTGTTTCTATGTTTGTGTAGTTGCAGTAATGTGTGTTTCTATGTTTGTGTAGCTGCAGTAATGTGTGTGTTTCTATGTTTGTGTGTTCAGCTGCAGTAATGTGTGTGTTTCTATGTTTGTGTGTTCATCTGCAGTAATGTGTGTTTCTATGTTTGTGTAGCTGCAGTATTGTGTGTTTCTATGTTTGTGTGTTCAGCTGAAGTAATGTGTGTGTTTCTATGTTTGTGTAGCTGCAGTAATGTGTGTGTTTCTATGTTTGTGTAGCTGCAGTATTGTGTGTTTCTATGTTTGTGTGTTCAGCTGCAGTAATGTGTGTTTCTATGTTTGTGTGTTCAGCTGCTGTAATGTGTGTGTTTCTATGTTTGTGTGTTCAGCTGCTGTAATGTGTGTGTTTCTATGTTTGTGTAGCTGCAGTATTGTGTGTTTCTGTTTGTGTGTTCAGCTGCAGTAATGTGTGTTTCTATGTTTGTGTGTTCAGCTGCAGCAATGTGTGTGTTTCTATGTTTGTGTGTTCAGCTGCAGTAATGTGTGGGTTTCTGTTTGTGTAGCTGCAGTATTGTGTGTTTCTCTGGAATTTTAAATTAGCTTGAATTTTTCCATTTGACATTTTTAACCATTCATTCTGCCTTTGAATTTCTATCATTCTGAAAATTGTGAATGTTTGTCCCAGACCCTGGTCCTCACAGGCTTTAAAAGTTCTTTTAATAAGCGAGTACTGCTTAAATACCTGACATGTTTTGGCGGTACACTTCCGCCTTCATCAGAGGTGACACGTGATGGTGTGATGCGTCCATTATCAGCTGTTGTTGCCGGAAGCAGTCAGTCTGACAGATCTCACAGATCCATCAGACTGACCACGTCCCCCGCCGCGCTGTGGTCTCCGGAGAAGTGAATCCCAAGTGTGAGCCAAGGTGAAAGCCCCCTCGTCTCTGTTGATGGTCCGTGTTCCCCGCTTCCTGATTTCAATCACCTCTCGTATCCATCTTTTGTATTTATGTTCTTCTGTTCCTACTATTTTTGCATTGTCCCAGTCCATGATGTGATTTTCTCTTTTGCAGTGGTCTGATATTGCTGATTTGAGGGTTTCCTGTGTTGATCTTGTTAGTCGCGCTGCTGTTTCTTTTTCGCATTTCTTTTGATGTTCTTTTCTTCTGGTGTTGAAAGCTCTTCCTGTTTCTCCGTTTCTTCCTGTATGTTTTATTGCAGGTTCTACATGGTATTTCGTATATGACATTGCACTTTTTTCCCGGTTGAATTCTGTCTTTTGGATGAATGAGGATCTGTCTGAGCTTCTTGTGAGGTTTAATTATTGCATTAATGTCATGTTTTCCAAGTGCTCTCTGTATCTGCTCTGTGACCCTTCGTATGTATGGTATGGTGACTATATCTTTGTGTTTGTTGTGTTTTTGTGGTTGTTTTCTTCTCTATTTTTGTGTGATCTGTTCGTTGAATACCTTTTGTCTTCCTTTTTGTATTGCCCAGCTGGGATATTTACAAACCTTGAGTGCTTGGATTGCTTGGATTATGTGTCCTTCTTTTATCCTGTCTTCTTCCTCGGTGATGTTGTTGAGGCGTTCGAATAATGTTCTGACAACGGACAGTTTGTGTGAAATGGGGTGTTCTGAAGTCCAGAGTAAATATTGATATATGTAGACTGTGGTCTTGATGCTGCCGTCCTGTTGGTGGTGAATGTTTAAGTCCAGAAAAGGTATGCAGCCCTCCCTCTCCTCCTCATGTGTGAATTGTGTGTGTCCTGTTGAGTCTATGGTGTTGAGATGGTCAGTGAGTTCCTGTGTGTGTCCTGTTTTTACTTTTTCTAAAATGTCGTCTACGTATCGTTTCCATAGGGTTGGTTTGTATTGTTGTGGTGCTGTGTTGATGGCTCTCTCCTCTAAATCCTCCATGAAAAAGTTACTCATGATTGCAGATAGTGGATCCCCCATGGCAAAACCCTCCTTCTGTCTGTATATTGTGTCCTTGTATTGGAAGTAAGTGGCTTTGGCAATAAAAGTTAGAAGTTGTGTTATGTCTGTAGCTGTGAGGTTTGTGCGTGTTTTGAGTGTCCGGTCCTTCTTAAGTCTCTCTTGTACAATGTGAATAGTGACGTCAACGGGTGTCTTGGTGAATAATGACACAACGTCATGTGATATGAGTGCCTCGTCCTTTCGATTTATATGTTTTTGAGTTCCTGAGCCAGTTCCTTTGAGTTTTTGCAGTGGTGGTTAGTGTTTCCAATGAGAGGTTTTATTATTTCAACTAGTGCTTTTGATAGGTTGTATGTGACTGATCCTGTGCTGTCTACTATGGGGCGGAGTGGTGTGTTTTCTTTGTGTATTTTTGGTGTGCCATACATATGTGGGGTGATATTGGCTGTGGGAATGAAATGGTTGTATGCTTGTGTGGTTATTTTTCCTGCGTCTGCTAAAGGTTTGAGTAATGACTTCAGTTTCCGTTTCTTTTCCTCTGTGGGGTTATTTTTTAATATTTTGTATGTGTTCGCAGTGTTGCCAACTTAGCGACTTTGTCGCTAGATTTAGCGACTTTTCAGACCTCTATAGCGACTTTTTTTCAAAAAAGCGACTAGCGACAAATCTAGCGATTTTTTCTGGTGTTATTGGAGACTTATCTGGTGTTTTGGAGACTCTGGCGTGAAGCACGTATTGTTCTGCAGTTACTGTCCTCAACATGAGCCCCTCCCCCGTCCCAAAGCACTTACAGGCGGCCAGTCTCACAGTAGCCTTGCGCAGCAGTCCCAGCTACAGTCTATGGGCGGAGCAGAGAGAGAGAGAGGAGACCCTCACCACTCGGCGTCCGGACTGCAAATGAAATGCGCTTGCGCAAAAGCCGCCGCCCGGATAAAGGAGGAGGGTTGGTTGCAATTTCACCCTACATAACAATCTTTTGATTACATTTGCTGTTATAACATTTAACAATACAGGACAAAATTGATGTGTGTAATGTGGATCTAGACAAAGCATTAAAATCATTAAATGTTGTTAATGTTGAAATTATTTTTGTACATTTGTAGTTCTAAACATATTTAGGGTGTTTTTTACTCACTTTTGTCTCTCCCACGACGTTATTCCTCTCTCCTACAGCGTCCGTTACAGTTATTTGCAAATTGCCCATTATGCAAATTAGGAGATGACGTCATTTAGCGACTTCTAGCGACTTTTGGGACAGCCAATAGCTACTTTCCTTACTGAGGAGTTGGCAACACTGTGTGTTCGTGTCGCTTAGTAGTGAGTTCATTTTTTCCTCGTAGTCCTGTGTGTCCATAACCACCGTGGTTCTTCCCTTGTCCGCCGGTATTATTGTAATGTGTTTGTCCTTGGTGAGTGAAATGAGTGCCCTTCTTTCTTCTTTTTATATGTTGCTGGGTGGTAGTTTTGCTGCTTTGAGTGTGTTCCTATGGTCTGCCTTTTTAACCCTGGTCTTGTATCTTATTGCATGCTAACTTTGTTGCTAATATGACCTCTTCGTGTGGTATCTTGTCCAGTGTGATGGCAAAATTTAGTCCTCGTTTTAATATGTTTCGTTCCGTGTCCGTAAGTCTTCGTTTTGATAGATTACATAGCCATTTATCGTTACTGGGTCCCTGTGTGCGCTGTCTTTTGTTCGTAATGAGTTTTTGTAGCTTACCGATTTGTCGCTTCTTGGTTGTTTCAAAATCTTTTTTGTATGCGTCTTGTAATTGTCCGTCCATCCATAGTTTTTCTTCCTCTTGTAGGAGGTATTGTTCTTCAAATATGACGTGTTTGTTCCCGTAACTCCTTGGCTAGCGCCTCTCTTTTGTTGTTTATTATCCGTATCCGTTCTTTTAGTAAGTCCCGTTTTGCTTTGTTGATTATTCTGTCCGCGTTCCTCGTATGTATGGGGTTCTTGATTCTAAGACTTTTTGGAGTCACATTTTCGTCTCTGCATCTGTGAGATCTGTCAGACTGACCGCATCCGGCAACAACAGCTGATAAGAGATGCATCACACCATCACGTGTCACCTCTGATGAAGGCGGAAGTGTACCGCCGAAACATGTCAGGTAATTGAGCAGTACTCGCTTATTGGAAGAACTTATAAACCCTTAAGCATAAGAAGACAAAATGAAATTTCTACATTTCATAGTCCTCACAGTCCCAGACCCTGGTCCCAACAGTCCCAGACCCCGGACAAAAATATAACTTCTTCGGGGTTAAAAGTCCATCCATATATTTTCTACCCCTTAATCTATTTCTGGGTTGGGGGGGTGGCAGTCAGAACTGCACCCAAGTCACAGAGCTGGTGTGACTTGGTGGGTCCTCACCTGATCCTCTGCAGGTGGTGAGTCCACAGGAGGACGGCTACTCTGTAAGTGGGTTAAGTGTCTTACCCAAGGACACAATCACAGCAGACATCAGTGGAAGTTGGTGGAGAAGGTGTCAAGGTGCAAATTGAACCCATAACCTTCAGGCCTAAAGGCCAATGCTCTACCAACTGAGCTACTGATCAGCTACTGATCAAAATCTGATGACACCAAAACATTTCCAGATGTTTCCCAATGAAAAAAAATATACATACATATTGGAATTGTTGGTTTGGCAGGAGTTTCATGAAGCTGCAGAGACACTTCTACAGCAGGACTGTACGGACACTAACTATGGTAAGGAATACAATTTTTTGTTAAACTTAAAGGAACAATATGTTAAAATCTGGCCAAAAGTGGTACTGCAGTCACAGTCAATATTTTGTAGTCCTCTCCCACTCTCCCTGACTCAGGTTGCCAGATACACACCAAATCCAGCAGTAAACACAGGGAATTATTTTATCAGCTGTTTGTCTGTCTCCATTCACATTGCCATGAGGCGTGCTGATGTTGAATGAATGTTTATTTTTTATTTTTATTTGGACATTTGAGATAAAAAACAAAAAACAAAGTAAAAGCAATGTAATTATAGATTATCCACAATAAATAAGCAATTGATGTCCAAAATAGGAGTGGGAAGAATGGATGTTGGAACATATTTCTTCAGCGTATCAAGATCAGGGTTTCCTCCGGAGGAAATCACCATTCCAAAAAAACGTCTTGACCTTCGTCTTTTACCGTTTTTAGAGCAATCTGTCATAGAATGTGATAACATGCAATTAAATACAAAAAGGACCGGCCCGGAATCGAACCAGGGTTACTGCATCATGAGCGCATAGATTTGACCTCTAGACCACCAATAGAGGTTTTGCACCATCATGTGACCTACATAGCAACCGTCACTAGGCGGCCATGTTAGATGGCAGGTATGAAACTTTATACAGTCAGATTCAACACAGTGGCCGAGAGCGCACCTTTACTTAGGCAGATGGGAAAGTTTTGCTGCGTCTTTAATTGTGGTAAACGCTCAGAGCGAGACAAAGATGTCTATTTTTGTTAAATACCGGTCGTAATTCGCCATCAAGGAAAATAAACTATCAAAAAAACGACTGCAGCAATGGTTAGCAAGCTAGCATTTGTGACGATGCAGTTCAAAACGGGGAAATCAATAACGTGTTTGTCTGTTCTTGTCATTTTCACCTAAGTTAGTTGTTCTAATAAAAACATTGCGTTGGAGTAAAAAGCCTGTCAGTGACATGCGGTTGGTGACTGAGGCACTGACTTCATCACAATCAGATTTAACGCTACATATCAACAGGACATACAGAGGATTATTCACACATGGTCCGCATTGTTTTTGTCTAAACAAAACACCAAAGTAAAAAGCACATTTAAAAGTGTGTTATGGTCTTACCTTATATGAACTCCATACACCACTTCATTCAGTTCAGAGCAGTTTCATCCCACTAAGCAAGCCGACGTTGAATCAACGTAATTTGAACGTCGTTGTCCGACGTAGAATATAGGTCACTGGTGGGTGCAGAATGAAAGTTTTCTCGACGTCGTTTCCCGACGTCACCTCAACCTCCGAATGTTACGTTGATGGCACTTCAATTCAAGGTTTGAATGTGGTACGGAACCGGTCGGGTCTGACGTCCTATCAACGTCTCATATGACCAAAATATTGACGTTTATATGACGTTCGTTTTCAGTCGTTCCCACTAAGCAAGCAGATGTCAAAACTATGTCATTTCAACGTCATCTGGACGTTCATTCAAGGTTGCAATGTGGTACAGAACCGGTCGGGTCCGACGTCCTATCAACGTCTCATATGACCAAAATATTGCCTTCATATGACGTTCGTTTTCCGTTGTTCCCACTAAGCAAGCAGATGTCAAAACTATGTTATTTCAACGTCATCTGGACGTTATCTGGACGTTCAAATGACGTCGCGGCCACTTCATTCAAGGTTGCAATGTGGTACAGAACCGGTCGGGTCCGACGTCCTCTCGACGTCTTATATGACCAAAATATTGACGTTTATATGACGTCCATTTACAGTCCTATTGACATACTTAACCTCTGCAGAATCACTCACTGGTCGAGACATACTTTTTGCAATAGGCAAGGCAAGTTTATTTGTATAGCACAGTCAAAACAAAAGGAAACTCAAAGCACTGAACAAAAGAAACAATCAAACAAGGCATTACAATTATAAATATTGACTGTAAATTAAAAAGAAACAAATAAAATCTCTCATAAAATCTCTCAGTTGAAGCAGAAACAGAAGTGTTTTAAACCTGGATTTTAACATTGTCAAAGAAGAAGCCTTTCTCACATTTCCAGGAAGACCGTTCCAGATTTTAGCCTTGTGAATCTGAAATGCAGCTTTATCATGTTTAGTTCTGACTCTGGCCAATAAACGATAAACACAGCATTCAAAAATCATTAGAACAACTGTAGTAGAAGGATATCAGTCATTATTGCAAATGGAGCTGCATTAAAAATCATGTTTCTCTACATCAAAGTACAAGTTAAAGCACACAGGGCACAGTGTTATGAACACTACTGTACTGAACACTACTGTACTGAACACTACTGTACTGAACACTACTGTACTGAACAGTTCATGCCAAAGTAAAAAAACATGATTGTAGCGCCTATGTTTGGATCAGTATTAAAACAGGCACAAGCTACACTCTAGGTTCCCCAGATGTAAAAACACAATCTGAAAGGCAGAAGAATGCATTTATTGAATGTTGAGCTGTTCCAACATGTGTCCTCTCTTGGTCTTCAGTCTCTCATCACAAGGTCCAAGCACAGCACCTGAAAATGTGGAACATGTTTAGTTTCAACATAATGAGGCAAAGTGATATAACAACACATAACTTTCTATTAATGCCTCAAACCACTTGATCCATCACCATGTGATACAAACCTTGGCACTGCACTAGCTCGAGACACTGGAAGACACTCAGTCTGAGAAACTTGGGATAAGGCTTTGGTCATTGGAGTAATTCCATGTAAAAAACAATTGCAAATGTGCATTTGTTTTGCACATGGACAAATGAGCCCTGAAAGCTACTTACCCTGTATTACTCTACACATGTTGCATTTCCGAGGGGGCATTTTCCCCTTGTTGCTCTTTTCCCTCATCTTGAGTGAGTTGCTGAACAATCTGAGAAAAAGATAGATGTTTTCAAAGAGAATACACCAAATAATGGTTTATTCTAAAAACAACATATTAATACAGAACAACAATCAATGTGTGAGAGTGTGATTCTTACCTTTGAACACCTTCAACACAGTCTGACACCTGTAAGACTCAAACACACATGACACATTAGGAATACACACAGAACATTAGTTATTGCAACAATCATGAAATTATACTCATATACTTATATGGATTTCACAATAATTGACTGCATTAGCAAAGGTAAATGTATTTTAATTAACATATGGCTGGTTTTAAAGTTTATAAGAAAAAGTAAGAAATTGAATAGAGTTGCAAGCGCTAGTTAGCTTGCTACCAGCAGATGAATGGATATTTAATATTTGCAGCTAACAATAACAAAAATAACAACTGTAGTGGCTCATTTAAACAGCCACAGTGAGAAGAAGTGAAAGTCTCTGACATTGAAGACCTGGGAAGACATTAAATCAATTTATTAAACAAAGCAATAAATGAACATTAAATTCTCTTTCTGCAGCAGGTAACATCTGTGTGCTCCTATGATCCCACATGGTCCCACACCTGAACTCAACTCGAACTGATGACATCACAGGTGTCTAAATGATGGGAGTGTCCCAAATATTAAAGCTGATCTCCCTGTTTTTAAACTTAGTTTACTAAGTACTGTTGTCTTTTTGCAGTTTATAAACCATTGTGAAATATACAGTAACTTTACATTTTAGAATTGAATTATTATTTTAAAACTCAAGAATCTTAACCTTTTTTAACGCATACTTTGTTGGACAGTCTAACCTAAGAATTCTAATGTGTTAAAAATAGTTTGAAATATGAAAAACAATATCATATTTTAAACTTTAACTTAAAAACTAAAAAAAGGTGTCTCCCTTTCAGCTGAGCAGTGCCAGCCGTTATTATTATAGATTCATGCACTGGCAATTCAAAATACAGATAATATACAAAATATACTTAACAAAATCCACGTATACGTGAGAAAACAACTTACTTTCTGTCTCCAACTCTTTTCAATGTGGAAATGATACATCTATATCTAAAAACTGTGCAGACTGTGTACTTACTAGAGAGGATGATTCCAAGTAAATAAAGCAGGGCAGCGACAGAGGTACAGATTCAACGTCATATCAACGTCTGGGAAGACATTGCTTTACGTCCAGATGCACACCTTACGTCGTTTAGACGTGGAAAACAGGTCCTCGACCGAGCGACTCACGTGTCAGGCTGTAAAGTTATAAGTTATACTTGCGCGGCGCATAAGTGTGCGTCGGTTGTTTAGGGTGTTATCTATTATTTTTTCACAGTAGTCAGAAAAAATGCCTGGCCGTGGTGTAGCGGTTGCGTAATGAGACTTCAGTCGCAACGACGCGGGTTCAAATCCCCGTTGGAAAACTTTTGACTTTTCACTTTTTAGCGAACAATTTTTCTGTTTGGTTAAAAACAAATAAACACTCAACATAAGATTGTGTAGTGGCTAATAATAAAACTTGTGAACCCATGCATTTGCATAAAATCTCAAGTGCTCACCCCTTATTTGCAAACTTGAGATTGTTAGCACAACAAATGCATACATTCACAAGTTTTATTATTAGCCACTACGTAATCCTATGTTGAGTGTTTATTAGTCTTTAACCAAACAGGAAAAAATTGTTCGTTAAAAATCAAAACAAATATATAAAGATAATAATACACACACGTGGGCTCGAACCCACGTAACCAAGACTGCACACGTTTGCTTAACCACTACACTACCGTCAGGTATACTGACATCGCTTCACAGCCTATATATTGTATTGCTAGATCAAGACGTACTGCGTCGGTCGGCCGATGACCTGTTTTCGACGTCTAGGGGAGGTCGGGATTGAACGTCATATCCACGTATATGGGAGGTCATTGTTTTACGTCCAGATGCGCACCTTGCACAGACGTCGTTTGGACGTAAATAAAAGGTCACAACCGACCGACGCGATATTGACGTGATCTAGAGGTTGAGTGGACGTCGGATGTTTAGTGGGATGTTTAAGTCCAGATCAAAGTTTAGTATAGATATGTAATCCTCGGATTACAATGTAGATTATGTAATCCTCCA